AGAGAGGAGGGAGAGACAGAGAATTGTACCGACTTCTAACATTCTGAGAAGATTTTCTATGACGATAGGAAGAAAGGTTAGGCCTGGCCTGGCCTGGCCCTCCCCCCCCCCCCCCGCCTGGGCTGTGCTCCAGGCCATAACCATGGATCCGTCTGGATGGCCCGTTTCATGCTCCCATTCAGTGCAGGGCTGTCTCAGTGGGCTCGCGCCGCCACTGCCGTTTGCCGGCCGAAAAATGTACGATAACAACAGCACGGCTCTCCGGGCTCCTCCTCCCCCTTCCTTTGTCCCTGCCGGTGAGGTTCAAGGCCTATCATTTAGGCACAGCAGCAGTTGTTGCCACAATAAAACAGTTTGCAATTCCGGAATTTGGCGACCAGGAAAAAATTGTTGGAAATCTCGGGACACTACATGGACAGTAACACGAAAGGCGCAAAAGCGGTTGATTAGTAAGGAGGCTCGCATATAGCTAAGTGAACTCGTACGGTACGCAGCTGAACGAACTGTTTAAGGCACCAGGCCAAACTAATATCGGAAGCTCATTGATGCGCTGAGCACTGCCCTTTTTCGCGGTTGTAGGGTGCGTTAGTAAGTCCACAGTGCGCTAGACGTACTGTCAATGGGGCTAAGACTCGCTCATACAAACTTGACCTCCCCCTCGTCGCAAACACCGGCTACGCCCCCCACCCTCACCCCTTCGCCCGTGTACCATGGATGGCGCTCCCATTTGTGTGGTAGTTAGACCCCACTTTGCAAAAAAGATGATGGTTGGAAGTTCGTTGAATCTTGAATGAAATCTTAAAAACTGCACAGAGCGGCTTAGATTATGCATGCATTAGTGAAAGTGAATTGGACGTAACAAATTTCTGCATAAAACAGACGGGCATTTTCTTTTTAAGCAGAGCATACTCACTTCGGCATGCTAGGATATCGAGTTGCATTCAAGGAACCGCACTTGGTCGCAGGCGTGGTTTACATTGGGCACGAGACTGGCCTTAACCAGATAGCCAGGGTCATAGTCATGATCTTGAAAATGAGCCGCGCAGATTGCCGCATTTCCACATTTATGGTGCCAGCCCTAGAACAACGTGTGAACCCATGCTTTTAAGACAGCTGGATCGTTTTTTGAAACGTAAAAAATGAATGTTTTAAGTGCCGTTTAGTATTCTTGCAGGAAGCCACTGCACAGGATGGCGTCTTGCTGCAAAAAAACTGCCTTTGATGTTAACTTTGCCAGAAGCTCACACGCCACTTCGAATTTCTTACATCCGCGACATAATAGCACGCACCGGGGCCATGCAACAACACAGACTTGATATCACACCGCACGATAGTAAATGAAACTACAGCATTTCTGCGTGACTACTGTTTTCCAATTGACGCAGTTGACGTTGCCATGCAACGCCGCCGCGCAAGCCGGTGCGACTTTGTGACGTCACCGCTTAACGTTTACGAGCCGCCAGCCCGACCAATTTCTCACGCTGCGATGATGACCCCCTAGCCCGTAGGTATACAGACAAGGTAGGAGAGGTGAATGGAGTGGTCCGCTTGCTGGAAGGTGGAACCGGCCGCCTATTGAAGAGACGAGACACATATACTCGCTCTGACGAATGAAGCTCACTCATCGCAACGCATTGGCGAGGAGGTCGTTGGTAGGATCGTGGAAGCAAAAATTGAAGCTAGAACCGATCTTCAATGGCTTAACGAGATAAAACCATATGTCAACGATCCTGAATCGCCTATGTTTTGTATTTCACTGATCAACGAGTTACCCGTGTGGAGGAGTCCCCGCCGCCGACCTCCACGACCGCTGCCCGCGTGGATGGTCCGCCATGCTCACCCTGAGCGATGGTGGGGCCGCTATCTTCCTGTCTACCAGTCTTCTCTAGAATTCCGCGGGAGTCGGCTGCAGTCATATCCGACGTGTATGGGCGGCATCCGTTTGGAAAGCCTGTGGGGCGCGGGCCCACCCTTGATGACGGCCGCCGCAGGCCTGCCGCTGGCCCGGAAGGTTTCGCCGCGCTGACACCAGGCGTTGGCGGGGCTGCCGTTCTACCTGACGTTCGTGGGACAAGCGCCGCAGGATTCGCCCACCATTGTGTCAGATTCCGTGGTGGACGTCCAGGGGCGCAATATTTGATCCTGCCGTGGAGTGGACGTCAGCACATCTCATGCCTCGGGGATCCTGCCGGTGCCCACGAGTCGGCAGCCGCGCGTGGCACCGACGTGCGAGTCGCTGCGGAATCTGCATAGTGCGGGGCGCGATGCTGCCTTCTGCTGCCCTCGCGATTTCCACGGACTTTGCAGACGGATGAAGATTGCTGGGCCCCGCTTTGAAAAGTTGGGGTCTTGCCCCCCGTTCTCAGGCCCATGATTCTACTAGATAGATGCTAACCTGCAAAAGACTGCCGAGTCTGGCCTACAGTCTCGCAAAAAAACCGGCGAGTTATTGGCGTGTAAGGTGTCGTGGGCCAGTGAGTAAAAAAGTTGCGTCTCTCGTCGCAAACACGCGCGGCCCGCCTCATGTTTCCGCCGCACGCGGTATCGGCCGACCTTGATGTGCGACTACGGCTTTGAGTGCAGATGGCGCTGGTGTTGCCAGTCGCCTGTGGCTTCGGACGTAACAGGGCAACTGGCCACCATTGATCGGTAGGTAGGAGGGGGCGCGGCGCCGACCACGGACCCGGGTGAACAAAGTGGGAGGACAAAAGCGGTGTGACGCGCCGCAAGTGTTGTGGTCGGCGAGCGGCGACGAGTCACGAGGCCTGCCGGCACGACACGTTGCGCGTTGAGTCAGCGCCGGGGCGTGGCCTGGCTGCAGTGACGCCGTCCGTCGGCCGCTCGGCACTCGCTCGCCCGGCGCGGCTGGTTCTGGCCGCGTGGTGTCTGTGTGCCGCCCCGCTCACCCAACCGACGGCTGGCGCCGACCACTGTACGCTAGGCCCACCGGTCGCCATCATGGAGCAAGTCAGCAACCACCAGAGCAAGGCGGCCTCGGACCTGTACCGGGTGCTGGCAGAGGCCAGCGCCGACAATGTGTTCCTCTCACCCTTCAGCATCAGCACGGCGTTGTCGATGGTGTTCGGAGGAGCGGACGGCAACACCGCTCTCCAGATGCAGCAGGCTCTGGCGCTACCCAAGGACAGCGCAGAGCTACACAACGGCTACAGTGGGTTACTGAGGGCGCTGCAAGATCCGCCGAATATCACACTGAACACGGCCAACAAGCTGTACGTGCAAAACGCGTACAAAATCTTGGACACCTACTCTGGTTTGCTGCAGAAGCAGTATTTAAGTGAGCTGAAGAGCGTCGACTTTGGTGACGCCGACGGTACAAGCAAGCTGATAAACGGTGACGTGAACAGCTACGAAAGGGAAGATCAAAGATCTTATCGATCCGAGTGCGCTGAACTCGCTGGTTCGGCTCGTGTTGATAAACGCCATCTACTTCAAAGGGTCGTGGCAGGAGAAGTTCGACAAAGAAGCAACAAGCAAGCGAGACTTTTTCGTCAGCCCGAAAAAACGCTGTCAAAACCGACCTGATGTATCTGGATGATGATAGAAATTCAACTGCGCAAGCCTCACAACCTGGCGTGCAAGGCTCTGGAACTTCCTTATGAAGGTAAAGCGCTTCAGGCATGATCGTACTCCTTCCAGACAAAAAAGACGGTCTGCGGCCTCTCGAAGAGAAACTAGCGACCATGTCCATGCAGTCCATCCGCGGCGAGCTTCAGAACAGGAAGACTATGATCATGATACCGAAGGTTCAAGCTTGAGGCTCATATGATCTCGTCGATCATCTAAGGAAACTTGCATGAACGATCTTTTTGACGCCAACGCAGCTGACTTGTCCAAAATCTTCCGGTGCCAGGGATCTTTTTGTCTCCAAGGTGGTGCACAAGGCGTTCATCGAGGTCAACGAAGAGGGGAGCGAGGCTGCCGCTGCGACGGGCATGGTCATGATGATGCGCTGCATGCCCAGCCCTGTCGAGAAGTTCGAATTTATCGCCGACCATCCATTCTTCCTTCGCCATCGTGGACACCGAGAATGGCCTGACTCTGTTCTCGGGTCGCTACGTCAAGCCCGAATAGCCAGCAAAGGCGGGTGCCGTTCTTCCGTGCCGCGGGCTGGCACGCTCTGGGGGGCGTTTGGTAACCTCAGTTGCATCTTCTTTGTCGGAGATTTATTGGGTTAGCTTATGGTTTGCATTTTCCCTCATGTAGCGGCTGCTGTGTGTGCACTGTGCCTTAAAACCATATTGGCAGGAGGTCAAGGTTGTGCAAATGTTCGAAATGCTGTTCTGGTGCCTTTTGTGTGTCATAGTGGCATCCATTTCTAGTGGCATCCATTGCGTGTTTTTCTTTGGGAAGACAGGACAAGGCTTCAACAATGAACATAGAAAAGCTGGGACAATCCAGAGTATCCAGAGCAAGAGCAGTCAGTCGGGGAAAAAATAGTACCTCTGAGCTGGCAATAACGATTACAGTTATTTGTTTTTGGATCCACCCTTTTGAGTTGAGGCTATACTGCAAAATACGGGCGTTCTGCACCTAGCCGCATGCAATACGTTTTTCTAACAAGAGTGGTTCATGTGATGCGGCATGCTCGTCTCAATGATACTTAGCAAGACTAAAAAAGTAGATACCAGATAGGCAACTGGGTTTTGAAGTCATCAAAACACTTTTAAGCGTGATCAAGACTATACCCTGAAGTGTGCCCGGAAATGTTCCGCCAGTTCAGCTCGTCTCAGTACACAAATTCCTTAAAGAATTTGCGCTCTCCTTGCAGTCACGCCAGCACAACATTCTTGACTAAATCAATGTGTAAATCACTAAATCACAATAGTAAGTCACTAAATCACTTGACTAAACCACACTTGACTAAATGACTGCGACCTTCAGGCTGCATTAGCGGAAGTGCGTCTCCAATGCCACGTTTATGCTTTTGTTCCCTACACCTTTCCTCAAAGATGTTCCGTGCTTGGTTGGCTAACAACTATCGTCGTCCTAGTCATGTTTGCCTGTTGGTATCGGCTCCCCAGTCATTTGCTAAAATGCCACAATTTGGAAGTCGCCACGCATCATCCAGCCTCGAGGTGAATCGCAGAAGTGTTGGATAATAAGCGTAGTTCGCAGAAGTGGCAGGTATTGCAGTGTGGATCATTTTGTCGCCCTTGATTCGTGGAACGAACAGCAGAGTTCTGTTGGCGTGGGTTGTGATGTTGACCCCGCTATCAGCGTCCAGCCCACAGTATTTTTTTTTTCACAGCAGACCCTATTGGTTGCTTAGCAGGGTACATACATAATGCGCCGGAGGCCAATGGTGATGTATATTTACAAACGGATTATTGCGACTAGGCCAATTATTGGCTCGGCCCATGCAGCATATTTCTGGAGCGGAGAAAGTGAATCTTTGTGTCTACGAAAGAGACTGGTCCATCTCATGTCATATGCGGTTGGCTTGGATGAAGCTCTAGTGTTTTTTTTTTTTTGCTTTGCTCGATCACATTCGATTAATTCTTGAACATCCTAACGTTTACATTTCTACTTGTTTTGAATTCGAACAATCACACAATGACATACGCAATGGATCTGTGTTCACACTGTGATCCGTGATTACAATGAACCTAGGTCGCGACAACGCCACCTCCCAGCGCGGGTGCCGTCCCCGCCAGCCACCGCGGCAACCACCGCGGAGCGACATCTGCCACCCACCAGCCGCGCAAGCACGCGAGCCGGCCAGCTGTAGACTCCGCCAGGCGACAGGGCGGGGCAGTCAGCCACACCCCAGCCGGCAGCCCGGCCCCACAGCTCCCTCTGAAGGGCCGAGCCAGACGGCCACGGCGGAGAATCGACACCGGTAGTGACGCATGCAGAGCGATGGCATACACACCCATTAACACACTTCCTCATGCGCGTACACGATCGAACACCAACAGTAACGTGCCCGGCATTAACGATAGTTTATCGCTGACTGCCTCATCCACACAATATAAGTGCCCTCTACTAACGTGATGGTTAATCATGTGAGTGCACAGCCGGTCTCTCCAAGCTCACAGAGTGCGTCTGTTTGTAAGTGTGGATTGTGTTGGTGCTCGCAGCCACACATCCCTCTACATCGGAGTACCTTTGAATAAACCCAAAGAAACCTCGGGTATATGGTTCACACGACGCATTGCAACACTGCCATATGTACTGCTATCCCAATGGCAAGCATAGTTGAGTAGCGGACACATCAAGTGTTTCAACCGGATCAACAGGATTATAAAGGCTACAACAAGATAACGTTACACATAGTGAGTTGTCTGTGGAGTCGCAATCGCGTGCTCAGGTCACTCTCCAGAAAGCTGGCGGCCCAGGGCAGAACCAGAACACATGCGGTATATCCTCGGTATGGCTCTGGCGGCGCGGACCCTGATTCGTCTCCTTGATCCCATAGAGGTGTAACATGCGGATGGTCGGTAGGATCTGCGGACGACTCTAGATGGCAGCCACCTTAGTTTGAAGTCATCTTTTGTGTCGTACAGAACTTTGTATACTTTTTGTCCATTGTTCTTGCCCCATAGGTCCAAGTCTAAGTTCCAACTTCGTCTGAGCATTGTCCGGTAGGGAAACATGAGCCGAGGATAGGAGCACACTATATCCCCACTTCGCTGTTCCCACGCACTCGCTTATCTGCTCATAAGCGCATGGAAGGGCCGCATTGGTAGACTTTTTCTGAGCAAGCACTTCCTTTCAAGAACGGGGTATGGCATGCAGTAAATACTGACCATGTTAAAAAAATGCCCATACCCAAAATGCATGTTCAGTTGGTCGGCGTTGAGGAGCTTTCGGTCCTGGTGGTTGTAAATGTTTATTTGAGCCACTGAACGGTGAATCAGTTGGTGCTTGTTCAAAGATTAATTCTGTTCAAGGTTCATATCAGTGTTCCATATGATTTTGCCCAGTATGTTTGCCTCTGAGAGTTTGGGCTGTAATGAGTGTACGATCTGTATCCAAGCATTTCTGCACTTCTGACCAAAACTTGCATCCATCCAGAAGATTCAACGCTTTGTTGGGATCAATATTACAGTGCAATAACGGTATTACTGGATTTATTTTTTGTTTAAGTTGCAGTATTTTCTTCCATTTGGCGTTGTACCCTGGATTAAGCAACTTCCTTATCCAGGCCGTTTTAAGATTGTCTGCCTGTACTGATGGATCAGGCACCCTCAGTCCTCCGATGAAAAGGCGGTTTTTCATCACCGACCGTTTGATCCTATCTCGAGATCGGTTCCAAATGAAATGGTTTATTATTGTTTCGATCTTCTTTAAGGACGTAGGATTTGGCTTTTCCAAGACAGTCATAAAATACATTGGTTGCGAGAGAGCCTCTGACTTTATCACTTGTATCTTTCCGTATACAGTAAAGCCACGCCCAAACCATGGGTTAAGTTAGGCTTTCAACATTTCTATTTTTTCCGGATAGTTGATATTTCCTAGGTCTTCGCATGTCGAGGTGAGATTTACTCCAAGGTAATCTACTGAGTTACGCTCCCACGATGTTTCAATCTCTGGACAAAGGGCATCTGCTCGGTTTCGGTGCTGATCTTTTCAGACCACTCGTGTCTTTTGTCTGTTCAGAGATGGGCCTGATACATCTCGATAAGCATGCAATCATTTAAAATGTGCCCTAAAGCATTTATCAGAACTATCCACAATGGCAGCTGTTTCATCGGCATAGGTCGAAATCTTTATTTCTGCGTCACTGATGGTAAGCCCGTTAATGCTGCTACAGCACCTGATTGTATGTGCCAGAGGCTCAATTGAAATCAAGAATAGCAGGTAGCTGAGTGGACATCTTTGACGGAGGCCTTTGGCTATCACGCACGGCTCTGACGGATGGCCGTTTCTCTGCACGCGAGCACTGCTCTGGGTACTTCAGTCCGATCATGCATCAAGTTAATCCACTTCTAGGTATCTGGTCCAAAACCTAGTGCTTTGACAGCACTTTCAGACAAGCTCAGTCCACCGAATATGTTTTACGCCAATGACAGAAAAGTGTCAGTCCAGGTGCATTGTGGAATTTTGCACACCAAATTATGTCAATAATTAGCCGCGTATTTTCGCCTACCGGGAAGAAAACCCGCCTGATTTTCGTTTTTTACCTCATGCATTGCTGTTTTTAGTCTTTGTGCCAAAGCTTTTGTTTACATTTTATATACGACGTTTAGCAGATTGATGGACCGAAGGCATTTCATTTGTCTTCGATCTTGGTTCTTTTTCGGTATTAAAACAGCTATGCTGCACTTAATGATGTTCAAAATAGTTCCTACACTAAACATTTTAATCATAGCAGAATAAATAAGCCTTTTCAAGTCATGACAAAACAACGGTAGTAAAACGGCACGGTAAATCCATCTGGACCCTAATTCGTTGAGGTTTTCATCGAGAAAAGCGCTGCCTCTAATTCGTCCACAGTCAGCTGACCCTCGCAGACCGATGCTGTAAGGTCGCCCAGGTGTGTAATGCCGTCTAAAAATTGTGAAGGTGCGTTCAGATTAGGCCCAGGGCATAAGCGCCTCGAAGTATATACGACTTTTCTCTAACATTTTCTTAACATCACCTGATTCATTTCCTTCCTCGGTAAGCTCTAGCTTTAATATGTTAAATGTTGTCGGTGCATTATTCCTTTTATTAAGGGCATGGAAATATTTAGTGCCCTTTTCCGCGAACTTTCTCCTGTTGGTTCTACAGCGGAACATGTTACTTTTAGTCAGTGTAGCAATCAAACTGTCACGTTTTTCATATAGCTCAGTAACTATTTCGATCGGTAAGTCGTTCACCGCGCTGTTTACTTGAACCTCTATTTCTTTGAGTCTTTGTTCGTCTTCCTTTTTTATACGGCTAGCGTATTGTATGATACAGCCTCTCAGAACACAGAAACAGTTGCGAGAAGTGTGGTCATTGTTTTTTTATTCATTGTCACTTATTATTTCTGCAATTCTTAACTTCATTCGGGTCTCAAACGTGTCGTCACTCAGCAGAGCAGTGCTAAATTTCCAGAATGACCTCCCGGCAATCACCTGGCCTACGCTGACAGTAAGGCAACA